ATTCTCTCCATGACGTCTTCACACATAATACTCGGACACAAACTCATATCTCGACAAATGATACTTAACGGTATCGGGGTTTTCGTAACTATAATTTTGATATTTTTTTTGTTTACATAGACATCGTATCTTATTTTCATCCATGCACTCTGGATGAATAACCACAAAATTAATAAATTCATTAATCCCTTCTATGAAACGCTCATTTAATAGTCCATCGATGAATCTAAAGTCAATCCAAGAACAATCCGAATTCATTTTAAACAAAATAATTTTTAAATTACTAATTAATTTTGTAATTACTTAAAAAACTTTTATTAATAAATCTCAATTTTTTTTTTAGATACTAGTTATTTTTTTAATGAGAAAACATTTAAAATATTTCTAATAACTTAATTTTTTAAGTACTTAATATAATTTTGAAAAAACTTAATTTTTTTCAAAAATAATTAGTATTGCAATTACTTAACTATTTAAGTTAATGAACAATTAAATAAGCTTAATTACTAATAAATTTTAAATTTACTAAATAAATATATATTACAATTCAAATAATATTTAATTCAATTAATTAAATTTGTAATTACTTAATTAATACCTTAACTTAATGAACAACTAAATAACCTTAATCACTTATTATTATTTTTAATTACGTACTAAATCTAAATTCAACAAGTATATATGAATTTTTTTAATGCAACTTATTCTTTTAATTACTAAGCATTTAAAATATTTCTAATAACTTAATTTTTTATCTATTGAATATAATTTTGAAAAAACTTAATTTTACTTAACTATTTAACTTAATGATAAACTAAATAAGCTTAAGTACTAATAAAATATAAATTTACAAAATAAATTATTATTACAATTTAATTAATATTTAATATTTAATTATATTTGTAATTATTTAATTAACACCTTAACTTAATTAATGAACCACTAAATAACCTTAATCACTTATTAATCTTTTTTAATACGTACTAAATCTATATTCAACAAGTACATATTAATTTTTTTAATAAAACTTATTTTTTTAATTACTAAGCATTTAAAATATTTTTAATAACTTAATTTTTTATCTCGTTGAATATAATTTCGAAAAAAACTTAATTTTTTCTTCTTAATTAATATTGTAATTACTTAACTATTTAACTTAATGATCAACTAAATAAGCTTAATTACTAATAAGAATTTAAATTTACTAAATAAATTAATATTACAATTTAATTAATTTTTAATTTTTAATTATATTTGTAATTACTTGGTTAACACCTTAACTTAATTAATGAACCACTAAATAACCTTAATCACTTATTAATTTTTTTAATAACGTAATAAATCTATATTCAACAAGTATATATTAATTTTTTTAATACAACTTATTTTTTTAATTAATAAGCATTTAAAATATTTCTAATAACTTATTTTTTTTCTATTGAAAATAATTTCGAAAAAAATGATATTTTTTTCTTCTTAATTAATATTTTAATTACTTAACTATTTAACTTAATGAACAAATAAATAAGCTTAATTACTAATAAATTTAAAATTTACTAAATAACAATATATTATAATTTAATTAATATTTAATTTATTGATTAATTTTGTAATTACCTAACACCTTAACTTAATGAACTACTAAATAAACTTAATAGCTTATTAATTTTTTAATCACTTAATCACAAATAAGTTAACTAAATTAGCAATTACCAATAACACTAATAACAATAATAATTAAAGTAACAACATAAAATAATAACAATTAAATTTTGCAACTAAAACAATTAACAATTAAACTAAGTAAATTCACAATTAACAATCAAATTAGTTCAATCAACTATTAAAAATAACAATAACAATAAAATTAACAATTAATAATAATATTCAATATATCAAGAATTAATAACAACATTAACAAAACAATTAACAATTAATATTAAATTAACAATTAAACATTTAAATTAACTATCACAATTAACACTAATTAATACCAATACATTTTTTTAAAACAAATAAACTATCTAAATTAACACATTACAATAATATTAATTAAATCAACAATTAATAAATTAAAAAAAGCACATGCAATAAACAATTATAAGTAATTAATCTAACAATTATAAGTAATTAAACTAACAAATTAAAAATATTTAATTAAATTATTTTAATTAACTAAATAACTGAAAAAATTAAAAAATAAAAGGAGGGATTAGATGGGGCTAGAACTTTCACCAAGAGAAGGAGGAGAGGGGGCTGCGTCGGTGGAATCCTTCGCCGACACTGTTTGGCCGGAAAACAACCGAGTGGAGAGATGGAGAGAAAGAAAGAAAGGAGGAGGAAAAGAGGGAAGAAAGGGGGATTTTTTGAGGGGAGAAATGGTAGGAGGAAAGAGAGGAGAAGATTGGACAGAGAAAATGGCAAAGGAGGCGGATCCGAGGTGCTACCGGAGGAGAAAAAGAGAGGAGGTGGAGAGAAAATTGATACCGCCAATTCTCGTGGGAAAAAGGCGAGTTTTAAAAGGAAAAGGTTTAGCGACGGTCTACGATCCGTAGCTAAACTCGTTGCTAATAGTCTTTTTGAAATAAAAATTTCCAAAATTAGTTGCTTTTCACCAACGAGTTTGATTTTATCGACGGATTCCCAACGATCTTATGACCGTCGTTAATATGATTTTTGCAACGGTTATTTTTGAAAAAAACCATTGCAAAAATTGGTTTTAATAGTTATTTATTTTCGTTTATTTTTTTAGCAAGGGTTTAGCGACCGTCTTGGACCGTCGCTAAACCTAGTTATTTTGCAACGGTTTTTTATTAAAAAGCTGTTGCTAATCGAAAATTTTCCTTTTCCATTCTTTTGATTTTAGAAACGAGTTTAGCGACGGTCCACGGACCGTTGCTAAACCAAATCTTTTGCAAATTTTTTTTATTAAAAAATCGTTGGTAATCGATTTTTTTTTTTCAATTCATCTGATTTTAGAAACGGTTTAGCAAAGGTCCACGGACTATCGCTAAACCGAATTTTTTTGCAACGGTTTTTTATCAAAAAACCGTTGCCAATCTATTTTTTTTTTTTTTAGAAACGGTTTAGCGACGGTCGACCGACCATTACTAGACCGAATTGTTTTTTGCAATGGTTTTTTATTAAAAAACTATTGCTAATCATCTTTTTGTTTTTTTTTTTTTAGTTTTTCTTGCGTTAGCGATGGTTTATGGACCCTTGCTAAACTTGCAATGGTTTTTTTTTCATAAAAATCGTTGCAAAAACGATCTGCATGTGGGGAAAAAAATTAAACCCGTGAAGTTAGCAACTATTTGGTTAAACCATTGAAAAAAAATGATCGCAAATGGAAATTTTAGTAACCGTTTTTTAGACCATCGCTAAATCGCTTAAAACCGTTGCAAATTTTGAAAATTAACAACAGTTTATTGACCGTCGCTAAATGCCCATCACAAATCTATCTTTTCGTTGTAGTGTCTCTTTTAAAAAACTGAATGAGTATATATAACAACCTGATCAGGAATGAGAGCATGCAGCAATGCTGCTGTAGCAGACCATAGCTGAGAGATCCTTTCTACCGGTGTTTTCATTTCTCTCCATCTTTTGAAATATGCAATGATTAGATTGACATCTTGCTACTGTGCAATTTAATCATATAGCTGTCGAATTTAACAATCCCTTTTTTGGTTTGTCTTAGAATATTAAAGATGATATTTTGCTGTTTTGAGTTTAGAAATTAAAAACACAAAGCCTCAGGTTCTTTTGCAAACACTCTTTAGGCATCATTGTCTTTAAATAAATAAATAAATTCTTCGTTTGATGTTGCACTTCTGCCAACACTTTCTACAGATAACAATCCTGCACATAAAACAATATCTCGACCACAGCCTGAGTATTCACATATTTTCAACTATTATTGGTGCCGCATGTCTTGAATGCTAAACTTCGAGGCGAGAATGCACTTCCAAGTATACATCATACAACAAGAAAGTAGGCCTTTAACGAGATGTCAAACCTCAGTCTCGAAAATAATTGAGATCCTAAAATTTAACATTTAACCATCTCTTTGTTGTTTCCGATCTTACTTTTAGATGGCTGTAAACTAACATTAAAACGAGAAATTTTCTCTATTAAAATCTATCATAATTGAGAAGCATATTTCTATAATTAATGTTTTAACAATAGATTAAAAGAAAATCAGAGTTTTCACTCTATTGTCTCCACAGCTTTTGCACCATGTTCTTCAGAAAACTATGCTTCGGGCCTTCAATTTGACAACAATTCTGTTAAATTTTTATCCAGTTTTAAATTGCTCTTTTCCATTACACTGCTGCCATCACTATTCCCTCCCAAATCCTTTTTATTCTCCTTTCACGAACAAACTCTAAGTCTAGCAACCCAATTGGTGAGATTACCAACAAATCCAAGCTAATCTCAACTAACGAAAGACTGACACAAAAAGTTAAGTGTAACGAGTCTTAAACTATCAGATTCACTCTAGGGTTTCAAAGACAGATGATAAAAGCATGATTGTATGCATAGCACATCAAGCCCAAACAAAGGACCGGACTTCATTTCATCATATTCTGTTAACGATAGCAAAACTAACGTTAAAAGGAATACAATGTCAGTTACAACTTTTGTTTTCTTTTGCAATCCTCTAACAGCAAAATTTCCCTAACATAAATATAAACTTTCTTTTATTGGGAGGGAAAAATCCTAAATCAGATACGAAAAAAAAAAATGCAGAAATCAGTGTAAGCATGCAGTAAGATAGACGAGTATATGAACATATGCCATGCTCCAACACAAGATGATCAAAATTTTCAATAGGAATAAAACATAGATGACAACATCTAATGCTATGTGCATGTACATAGCCACTCAGAATCCTTCTAATGAGTGGCAGAGAAGATCGAAGAGAATAGCAGTCACCGTACCATCTGAAAGAAGCTCTATTGAAGAGGACTTTGATAGAGTTAAATAACAACCAAAAACTTTCAAGTTGAAGGGATCCTCGATATCTCTACCAATAACTTGTGTAAGGCTTGAGGCTTTGAGAAAAAAGGTGAGTGATCAGCACCTTTTAAACGAAATACTTTTTCTGGGGGGCTTGAGTTTATCATGCTTTCTTGTAATGTGATAGGTACGGCATTATCTTCAGGAGTTTCTATATAAAACCTCCTCACAATTCCATACTTCAAGTCAGAAAGACTAAGCTTCTCCAAAACCGGTGCAAAGGGAATTGGCCTCATTGAAACAGATGCCAAAGCAACATCCTGATCGAGTAGCCACAAAACAGCAGCTGTGAGAAAAGAAAAGTGATTCGACACACACACACATGCAGATGCAGTGTAAAAGTTTGAAGATAACTAAATCAGTGTTTCTCCAAATTTAATTTTATATTGAGCCATAAAATCTCTCCAAAGGGAATTTTTAAGATCTCTGAAGAGCAGTGCGGTTGCCTCAAAATTGCTAGCCATGGCCTAGCCAAAAGCATAGTAGACATTTTTAATCTAGCGCAAGTGCTTGAAATCCACCTTTACTAGTTTCAGTAAGAATTACCATTTTTTAATACCTATGTAACCAAGTGCACATTATGTTTGAGCTACATTTAATCCAAGACTTAAGGTCCAAATACTGATCATAATCATGAAGTGCCAAGTTGGCGAGCATCTAAAGATAATAGTATTTGATAGTAGAAACTGCAAGGCAATTCCTTTAACTGTGATATGCGACCTTTGCATTCCCAGATGAAGTGTGAAGAAACTCAGATAAGCCAAGCCCATGCAAAGAAGCTCAAGTCCAAATTTAGGAAGAAACTAAGTGATTCTTGTTGAACAAGCATAACAACAAAGAATGAGGTTCCATCAGCAATTTAATATGTTACAAGTGCAAACAAACCTTGCCAGGACTTTGATTGAACAACAAATCTCTCAATAATGACTTGTCCAGATTAATAGCAGTTGGTGGATGATTATTCCCATTTGCATACAAAAATATTTGTGCCTGTTGCATTAAATCACTTGAACCTGCCTACAATAATATTACAATTTAGTAAGAAGAATATGAACCAAAATCTAGCAGTAACAAGAACAAAATCATTTCTGGAAAACTGTGATTGGCAGATTTGCACCTATTCAAATGCCTTCACGAATGGACTTACATACTGAGCAATATCACTAGCACTCCAAAGATTGATGGGGAAAAAAAGATTTATAATGCCAAAATGGAGCTCATTGTTGAATGAAAAAAGAAAAACATTGGCATTAATTACAGCCTAAGCACTTCGTTGAAAGTGCTGGGTGCCCAAGTGAACAAATTAAACCCAAATCTAATTAACTTCGGAACAGATAGTGTGAGAAGTAATTGAAAATATCATATGTAGAAAGATTACTAAATTTTTTATTGTGTAATGCACGTTCAAAAGTTCCAATTACATAAAAGTTATTCCAAGTTGAAATTACTAGGAATGAAATAACTGGCAAACCTTCTGGGAGAACATATCAAGAGTACTTTGTCCATTAGTCAACATTGCTGCAGCAACAAAAATGGCCTTTGAAACTTTATGAGGACACATCTCCATGGCATATGATATACAAGCACCACCAAAGTCATGCCCCACCAATATTGTCTGCATGATTCAAAACAATAGTATTAAATCTCATGAAAAAGTTTTCTGCTAGCTTATGCATATTTCAAAAACAAAAAAGAAATAGCTTAACACCGAAGGCTTGAGTAGGGAAAGGGCATTTACTCATCCATGCTCAAAGCAACAATGAGTCCGAAGCAATCTTTGCCATGTTTTTTAAAGCATGAAAGTGTTTCCCAAGTGATGTACACTTTCCATTTTGTAAATGAGAAAACGCCAGTCCCATGCGGCTTGGCATTCCAAATGAAATCACAAATACCAATAACTGGTATGTTTTCTTTACTGTTAATTCAATAGCAAGTAAAAGCTGCTAGAAGATGATGAGACAGATTTATTCAGTTCAGCTAAACTAAGAAATGCAGCACGAAAGGTTCCTGAGGAAAGCAATACTCTATACAGATCTCAGTGATAGATACATACTTTCTAGTTAAGCAACAAAAGGTCAAATTTCACACGCAAGTGAAGAATGCCCCTAGATCATAAAAACCTAATTGATCAGTCTGAAAAAAACAGCTATAGCACATTGTATTGTTGTTCGGATTTATAATTTTCAGTAACATGCACTGTAAATTTCTCAAGCTCAACCACAACACAAAAGACAGTACATAATAAATAAATAAAAAAAAAAAAGATAAGTGACAAAGAATCAGGGAAGAACCTTCTCCCCATCAGCAAGTTTGTCAAGAAAATCAGTAAGTGGTTTCACATATTGAGAAAGACTGGTAATGCTATTTGTATCAAAAGAATGAATCCCAGAGCCAGTTAAGTCTATGGCAGTAACTTTGAAACCATCCTCTTCTAGAAGTGCTATAGTTTTGTACCAACACCAAGCACCAAAGCCACCTCCATGGACAAGGACAAAGTGGTTGGTCTCAAGATCATCAAGCTTAATATCCTGGTCAAAAGAGATAGTTAGGAAAAGAAAATAAATAATGAGAGCAATTTACAGGGGATGGAGAAAACAGTCCATATTCTGATCCAATATATACTCTCGCCAGTGTTTATTAGATCACATTCTGATATAGTGATTTATAGTGGGAACATGCTAAGCCATTCTGGATCTTGCTCATAGTTTTACCATATATTACCCGTACCCATTCACCAAAGTTTTAGTGAATACAAGAATAACACTTGCTGGTCTAACAGAACAGATCAGATACGCATCTAACCAAAAAAATTTCATTAATTATAGCAAAGGAAAGGGTTTATCTACAAACTACAGCTAAGGAATTTACGTCACAAAAGTATTTTATCTGCAAAGTACAGTTAAGAGAAATAACCCAAGATCAATTAATTCGTATCAATCTGGACAAGCTTAAATTCCATCACTGAATGAGGCCCCCAATGGAATATAAGATAACAACTTGAGTGTCCATTGCAGGTAATAACAGTAGCGGAATAGCTAACTTGCAGTAAGTAAATGAGTCATCCAGCTATCACTCCTCTGACATTAATTCGCTAGCAGTCATCAATGAAAATGGATGATCACATATATTGTTCATCTCAAGTTACAGTAGGAATTACGAAGAGTGGACAGTGTGAAATGGTCAGCATTAAATGAAAAATGAACATAGAAATCTACTCTTTAATAAATCTCCTTTAATTGCTTCCATGATGTACGTTTAAAGATTTCATGGCATTTAACAGCAGTGTCAAAGGACAGCACAGCAATGGCTTAAGCTTTGGCATCTAAAACAAACATTGCTTAATAATTACTCAAATTCATCAATTCATTTCCCAAAAGTTCTCCAAGATATCAATAAAAATAAATTTGTCACCAAAACCCATTAATTAATAATTACTCAAATTCATCTATTCATTTCCCAAAAATACTCCAAGATATCAATGAAAATAAATTTGCCACCAAGAGAACCAAACACATTAACAATTCTTTTTCGTCCTTGATTGTGTTGTACAAAAAAAAAAAATCACCACAAAATTTAGTAAATTTACCATCTCCATCATTCCCAAAACAAAAGCCAAATACTTTTATCACAACTAACAACACAATTAACCAACTCACATGCCATTCTAGCCTTAAAAAACGTTACTTTTTCATAACAAACATGTAGTTAGAGACATTAAAACATGATTAGCAACTTCGCACTAAACAAACCACGCATGAAAAAAAGTCATTAAGCACCATATATCATAAAAAATCATAGCTTCCACAAAAAACGAGATTCTCAATTCCCATAATTGACATTGTAATCCAACAAAACCACACAATTCACGAGACCAATAAAACAAACCTGGTTAACAAGCTGATGAGGCTGCAATAACGGGTCAGTAAGTGAACGGGCTCTAGAACTGGAGCTCCGAGGCAACTGGGTTTTTTTGACCCAGAACCATTCGGATATCTTAAAGAAACGGAGCGATCAAAAGGAAATGACCCGGAACAGGAACCGTTTTGTTGCTGGTGCTGCCTAAACAGAATTGCTGCAGCTAATGCCTGTTCATGAATCAATGCATCATGGGTGTCCTTTCGGGTTGATCGGATCCGGGTCCACCTGTTGCTTGAATTGGATGCTGTTTGCGGATTACCCTGTAAACGTTTGGTGGGTTCCTTGGATTGTACAGGAGTTTTGGGTGAGAAACAAGTGCACAGGTTGCCCATCACACGTTCATGTAGTTTTAAAAAATAAATAAATAAATGAAAAGGGGAACAGAAAAGAAAAGAAATAAACTTGTCAGTTATGCGAACGTAAAGAGGTTGGGGTGTATGTTTTTTATGCTAGGCAACAGAGACTCGTGACGGTGGTGGTGACAATGGCGGCAGCGATGATGTGGCGGAGACGGCGAGAGTGGTGGTGGTGGTGGAAAGTAGAGAGAGTTTCAGGGGAGGTTTTATAGGGTGTGTGAAGTTGGTGACAAAATTGTGTCCCTGCGAACTTTATGTCGTTGTGAGTTCTATCTACGTGTCCTGTTATTTATTTTAAAACATTTTTTGATCCATTTTCAAACTCAGACCTCAAAATGCTTCTCAGGCCAAAGTCTTTAAATAGAATGCGAGTCAATTATAAATTAGTTACTCTTGTTCCAAGAAACGAATTAATTATTTAATTTTTATATTTTTTAATATTATTTTATTTTTTATTAAAAAATATATATATAAATTATAAACAAAATATTTTATGAAATAAAAATAATATAAAATTAATTATAATCAACACTAATTAAAAAAATTAAATAATAAATTTTAAAACAAAAGAAACTAATTAAATTTTTTTTTTAAATAGAGGGACTAATTTATAATTTACTCAATAAAACACATGCATATATTTCTAAAAAAAATCTTTATGATGTCGCATTCTCTCGTAAACTCCAAATTACAAAATAAGATCACTTAAGTCAAATCTTGAAAATAGTCTTATATAGTTTGTACCAATTAAAAATTAATTATATGTCTCCCGTTTCATAAAAGGCATCTCATTTGCTCCATGATTAAAATTTGGCAAGAAATTACTATGCTTTACTCTAAGTTCAAAATTTTAACCTTTTATCATCTCCACATCCTCTAAAGAACGTCCTCAAAAGAATATACTTAGTCAATTGATATTAATTTTTTTCTTGAATTATTTTAAAGATATATCAACCCGATATATTTAAAGAAATTTAATAAATTCTGATATAGATTAATTTTTAAAATTAAAAAATGAAAGATCAAAAAATAAAACAAATCTCTTTAACTAATGTGCTGATATTTTGGAACTTAGAGATACTATATGTGATGGTATCATTTTGTGTGCGCATTATTATTTGGAAACTGTTTTCCTTTTTCTGTTTAAAGTCAAAGGAAGTTATTGGGTGGTGATAAGAGGTGGGTGTTCGTTTCAAGGATGGGTGGTTTGGCGATCAAAGGAGGGGCAAAGGATTTTATATTGTGTGAAATTGCTTGAGTTGTTTAATTTGTTGTGGAAGATAAATGCCGTTTGATAGGAGTGTTTTATATGTATTGCAAATTAGTTGTAGAATCCGCACCTTCCTACGAATCGGATTTGACATAAATGTTATTGAATGTATTCGTTTAATTAGTTTATAGAAGAGAGTATTATTTAAAACCTCGAATTACATAAAACTTCTCAAGTTAACACAAATACTAATAAATTTATACCACCATATCGTCTTGTCACATAAATCTATAGAAGTAGATCGAACAAATAGATAATAATAAATAAGCCTTTATTAATAAACATGATGATATAATTAAATTTGATTTTGATTGCAATTATTTGATCAATGGCGAACATTCATTTATATAGACCATACTTTTATTGCTTGAAAATATAATTGAATAGTAATTACCTCCGGTTGAAAGATAGAGAAAACAAGCAAAATAGAAGAACTAAGAAAAAAGTATATCATATGGAACTTAAATAATTTGAATTAGGTTTTATGTTTTGGAGTTTGATAACTTAACTATGTACTTGATTTATGCATGACATTACATGAATTCATTGTAAGTTCCAATTACTTCTCCATAGAAGAAGATACAATGCAATCTAAGTTACCAAAATAAATCAAAAGTTTTTTAAAAAAAATAAATAAAATCAATAAGTAAAATCACAATTTTTAATTAGAACCTTTTCTACATCATCCTTTGATTAAAAGGATTTCATTGGCATCTATCTTTTTCTCATTTTGCATTGTTTCTTTAGGTATATTATAAATGATCATCATGGTTTAATCTATATGTATAGCAAAACAAAACCATTAGACAATCTTGAAAGTTACGTTTGAAATTAACATTAAAATAATAATAAAAAAAAACTTGAATTATGTAATGATATAGTGATATAATTAATCTAACTCATTTTTCGCTGAATGAGGCTAAATTCATTTATTCAGATCCGACAAAATTAAAACAAATTATGCAAATCGAGATTAGAAGATTAGATCTAGCAAACAATTCCTTTTTGTTAGATACCTTTTTGTCTAAATTTTTGTTTTGATGAATAATTATTGTTTAATGTTTATTGTCAATCTGTTTTGTTGGAAATATGATAAAAGTGTCAATGTAGCTAGAAGAACTAATGCTATCCAAATAAACTAGGTTCTATATTTAATTTCTTGTTATGATTAATGTTCGGATCAAATGATCTAGTATAGTCAAATTTTTGTTGGAGTTTTGAGGGATTTGCCTAATAGTTAAAGGAGTTTGCTCATTTTCTTGACTTGTTAGATTCAAAATTTAGAGACGAGCATCCGGATAAATTTATTAAATTTCTTTTAAATGTACCAAGCCGATAAGGTGGGTGCATCTTTAATTTTTTTTTTTTTAAAAAAAAAGATTTATTTTTTATTGATATACAAGATAGCTCAAGAATACTTTTACTATCGAACCAAAAAAAAAAAAAAAGTCAAAATTTTAGTTACTTTCTTTTTAAAAAAAAATGGTTACTTAATTAGTTAGAAACTTAAAATTAATGAAGTAGTTTAATACATATATACATGTTATAGCATTGAGGATGAATTTATGTATATTACCATATGGTGTCGCTACCCGACATTTCTAAGACTCTCGAAATTTATAATATGATTTTTTTATTATTGATTTTTTTTTTTTTGGACGGATGTGAGTTATTTATTAATTTCAAAGTTGACAACTAGTATTAAAGGTAAATAGAAACCTAAAATGGACATTAGTTCATAGATTTTAAAGTAAAGAGTTGGTAATGCTTTTGTAAAGATATTTATCATCGAAAAGCATCATTTCTTAAGAAATGTACCATGCCTACCTTAGTCCTAAAATTTATCTCCTAAAAATTTCTATTTTTGCCAAAATTTATCCCAAGTCAAATTTAAGTTTTATTTCCTAATCCAAATTATTATTTTTTTTATTTGTAGCATCATACTAGACCAATCGTCGAACCCCTTCATCGGACATCTTGTCGGTTCAACATCGGATCTAGTTTAAGTCTCGACATGACCAGTATATCAAAGAATGACCTAATTACTAAAATGTGATCGATTTGGATTAACATCGGTCCCTATTAAATAAGAGACTTTGTTAGTTTTTCTCATAGTATTTTCTATATCTTTTTTCTTTTTGTTCTTTCTTGTTTTTCTCCTTTTTTTTTTTTTTACCTAGCATTTTCTCTCCTTTATTTTTTTTCTCCTTCTTTTTTTTTATTTTTCTTTCTTTTCTTAATATTTTCTTTTCTTTTTTTTATTTTATCATTTTTTTTTTTTTTGTTAGTGGGGAGTCGTCATCGATCCCTAAAAATTAGGAGACTCGATGATTCATCTACTTATTAATTATCTAATCTAATCATTAAAATAAAACCTAAAATTAAACATTGACTAAATAAATAAATATAATAACCCATAAATTTAAAATATTAAATCTAAACTAGGCATAAAATAAAAGAGATGTATTTAATAAAAAATCGAGATTGATTTATTTAAGAAAAAATGCTAAAAATAGGATTATTGGGCCTTTTAGACCTAATGGACTAGACCGAGCCCTCCATGAACCTTTTTTTTTCCTTTTTTCTAGACTATGCTAGACCTAGCCCATTCACCTCTCTTTTTTCTTTTCGAACTAGGTAGGCCCAGTCCAACCTTATTTGACCCATTCTCCTTCTTTGGCCTAGTCTCTCTTTTTCTTTTTTCTTATTTTCCCTCTCCTTTATTTCATTCTCCTTCTCTCTCGCATGAACACAACTAATATAACTTAGAAACAAGGTTCACTACAAAAAAACTAATTGGTGTTTCCTTAATTTTAATCTTCTTGATGAACTTAGAATTCAAAACTCTAATAACAAGAAAATGAACAACATAAAAAATAATAAAAAATGAAACTAAACAAGAAAAACCGATTTGGGCGCCTAAGAGGGATGAATATTATTTGCGGGTTTAATTGATGATGATGAAGTTTCGGGTGGTTTGTTGGAAATTAGAAAGCTTGTTGTTGGTGTTAAATGCCGAGGATTGAGTTTTGAAACCTAGGAAAGATGCCGAAATTCCAGGAGGCCAAACATAAACTCAAAATCCTCTCTCTTTTTCCTTGTTATTTTTCTCTATTTTCCTTGAGCAATCTAACTAAAATCCTTATTCTAGAGCAAGGATTATTTCTCCTAGACCTAGAATTCCCTTCCGGGACTCAAAATTGTTTTTCCTCTTTTGACAAAAACCTAGAAATGTAAGAACCCAAAAGCTCCTCTCTTTCTCTCCTCTCCTCCTTTCCCTCTCAATTGTTATCCTATTGTTCACTCTCTAGTTTTAATTTAGTCCTCAAAGCTTTTAGTTATCTGCAATTACATGCTTTTTACATTTAATTTTGGTCCTTATTTCTTTCAATTTTTCAATTAGACTCTTATAGCTTTTAATTTTAATTTTAAGGTTTCAATTATTCTAATTTCGAGTCTTGATTTTTGTTCAATCATGCCCCTAGTTAATTATGCCACATAATTTTTGGATTTTTTTTTTGTATTTTCATATTTTTCATATTTTTTATTCTTTTTCCTTCTTTTTATGATAAATTCTCAAATAAAGTACAATTAAATTAAATTAAATTAAATTAAAAATAAGAAATAAAAAATAAAAAAATGGAGAAAACTTTAGGTTATGATAGTTGCCTCCTATTTACAATGCTCACGAGTGCAAATGCTAGTT